CCCAGCGCTCCCCCCAGCCCCACTCCCGAGCACGGACCCCGAGTCCTCACTGACGGCTCTTTCCACGCAGCTCACCCGCTACTCCTTGCTCATCCTCGGCATGGCCTACGGAGCCAAGCGCTACAGTGAGTGACGGGACCCTTCGCCCCCCCGAGGGCCAGCTTGGGGGTTGGGACCCCGATAATAGAGCTCCAGGAGGGATGAACGTTCTCCGCTAGGTCCTGCCGGGGTCACCGTGGCAGAAACACCAACCAGCTTTGGGGCTCCGAGTACACACCCTCAGCAAGGGTCGGAGGTGGACTGAGATGAGAACGACCACCAGGTCCCCAGAGCGCGATGTCTGACATCCTGTGTTGATAACCCGCCTTGCTGGGGACCTGGAATCCGTTGGTCTTCTCGAAATGGATGCAGAGTAGGGAGGGTGGTTGGAGAGAGCATGTGCCAAGGGCCTGGGGCTGCCTGGAGGGCGGCATGGGGAAGGCGGGTGTTGGAGGCGGTGGGTGTTAAAGAAGTGATGATTGATGGGGTGTAGGAGCCCAGGGCAGGCAGCTGCTGCCTTGAATGAGGCTCTGGGTTTAGGGATGAAGGCGAGGCCTTGACTGCTAACTAAGGGGGGGTGGTGGCCAGTGCCTCAGGTGTCCACCGGGGTCTAGTGGGCGGGCTAACGTCCTCCTCCAGTGAGGACACTGTCAGTATCCATCAACTCTGCAACCAATCCCAACAGGTTACCTGAAGCCGCGGGCGGAAGAGGAAAGGAGGATAGCGGCCGAGGAGAAGAAGAAGCAGGATGAACTGAAGCGCATCGCCAGAGAACTGGCAGAAGGTATCTCCTCCCAGAGTCCAGAGCACGCCCCTGGCTGGGGGACAGGCCAGCCTGCTGGGGTGGGAGCGGAGGAGTGGGGGGGTGGGGTGTAGATTTGTCTTTGGTGAGCTGCACCCTCCCTGTGGCCTTGGAGGTCACACACAGACTTGGACTGACTTTACAAGTGTGAGAGAGGCAGAGGAAGCCCCTGGGTGATGTTCCCACAGTGCATGGTCCTGGTCCAGTGTTCAGTGCCCTTGAGTGTGACCTGTGACCCTGTGCACCATAGCTCTGACCCCTGCTCTGTCCAGAGCCAATCGCACTGCCTGTGACTCACCCACCCCCATTACCCCGTCACTGTCTCATCCTGGTCTCCTGCTCTGTCTGTCCATCTTTCTGTAAGGATGGTCCCTCCTGGCAACATGTCCCCAGTATAGCTCATGGCCATTGAGTCTGAACTGACTTCAGAGCTGACCCTCCATTGGGTTTCAAGGTTGTAAATCTCATGGGAGGAGCCTGCTAGTCTCTTCCTCAGAGCCACTTGTGGATTTGAACTGCTAGCTTTCGGGTTAGCTTCACAGTTCCCTATGGACTATGCTATTACTTAGGGAGTCACGAGACTGGGAAACCTGGGGTCTTTGAGAGTCTCAGAAGGTGTAGTAACGGGGTGTGTGTCTCCTCTCCCGTTGCAGCCCAGGACGATACCATACTGAAGTGAAGTTCCTCCGAGCTGACCTGTCCTGGAGCAGCAGTGGGCGAATAAACCTCCCGTGCGCTCTGACCCTCTGTGTCTCATTTCCTGGCTTTTGGAGGGGAGAGGACCCGTGAGTCGGGGGATTCCACAGCGAATGTGTGTCACCGTCTCAAACCCACAGTGCAGCTCACACACGGTGGCAAATACAGGAGCTCCACTGCCCTGTGCCCAAGGCCTCCAGCCCTGTGGGTGCCCCTCTGATAACTCAGACACAGCTAGTCTGATTTCCTTACTGTGTCTCCACCAAGACCCTCTGGTGGGGGAAAGGGCCTGGAATTGGGTCTCAGGATTGGACTGTGGAGACGGGACTGGACTGTGGAGACGGGACTGGAGGACAGATGCTTTTCACAGGCACAGAACCATGAGGTGACCAGGTCAGGCAGCCGTCAGAGCACTCAGCAGACGTGGTCTCCTGAGGGTCAGGCTGGCTGCTGTGGGCCTAACCTGGACCACCGTCCCACAGCTGGGCTTAGGGAGGTCGGATCCGCGGTGCCCGGGTGAGCACCCTTCCCTGGCTGGGCATTTCTGTGCCCCTGCTGGTGGGACTGACTCCCTGGGATGTGGACCACTAAGACCCACTGGGTGGTTTGTGGAGGGTGGGCGTTCTGTAGCCACGTGACTTGAGCCTGTTTCCTCGTGCTGAGGTGATGGTTTTGTTGTAAAATGAGTTCATCTGTAAATGAGAAGTGGTGGACAAGCATTTAGAACCCTGCTCAGGGAGGTGAGGGTCCCTGGTGGCTCCATGAACATTGGGCAGCTAAGCAGAGTCAGTGGTTCGAATCCACTAGCCGCCCTGTAGGAGGGAAGTGAAGCCGTCTGTTTCAGTTACAATCTACAGCTTGGGAACATGCAGGGCCATTCTGCTTTGCGCGGTAGGGACTGTGAACGCTACTTGACAGCGGCGGGGCTGCGTTTGGCGTTTGCTGTGGGGCGGTGGTAGTGAAGGAGGCGGTGGAGTGGAGCTCCTCAGAGCCGCCCAGCTGGTATCCATCGCTCGGGGTCCGACCTCCTGTCCTGAGATCGGCCAGCGCCCCACCTCCACCAGCACAGACTCCCACGGTGCTCCCCGAGTCCCCCATCCTCCTGGTCTGCTGCATCCACACTGGGCCAGCGAACGCTCCCCAGAGGGTCACCGGGGTCCCCGAGCAACTGCCTGCTGGCTCCTCAGACTGCTGGACCTGCATCTGGACCTGGCTCCCAGCCTCACCTCCTCTCAGAGAAGATGCCCCGAGTGTCCTGCCTGGAGGCCCCGCCCAGCGTGTCCCCCGCTTCCTCCTTCCCCAGAGCCTGAGCCCTGCTTCCGCGTCACATACTTTATAACATTGTCAGCTCTAGGAGAGTGCAGTAGCTTTGGCTGTCCGTGCTGGTCTCTGTCCAGGTCCCAGCAGGACCCCTGACCCCAGCCATAGGCGCTTGCTATGAGTGGGCGGTCACAGCCTGTCACATGATAATCTCGGCTGCTGGGAGCTCAGGAGAGGCCCAGCGACCCCTTCTCTGCCTGAGTGGTCATTAAGTGCCCTGAGGGCTGCTGGCCTGTTGGGAGTGAGACTCGGCTGGACTGGGCACAAGGAGCCCTTAGGTGTGCAAACATTCAGACATTCTGCTGTTCACCACAAAGGTAACGGTCTGAGTCTGCTGGGAGGGATCTCAGAAGAAAGGCCTGGTGATCTCGACCATCACAGCCGTGGGGACAGACACCCAGGGTTGCCCTGGGATTTTGAAGTCCTGAGGCAGCGACATGGAGCTTGTATCAGAGCGAAGAGTCCTGATTTCTTGCAGATATAACGCTCTGTCGTCCAGGGTCCTTGTGTTTGTTGACTTTCTGACGCCTCCCATTTCTCCCGCATTACAGATAACCCACAGAGGCCTGGTCATTGCAGTAAGGGCGACCCACCCCGTGGACAGTCTGGGACAGATTACAGGTGTTACCACTAAGGTCTGCCCAGCCAGGTGTCACCTGTGTTGAAGGTGGCTGCCAGGCCTTTATTCCTGTTCTTAGCCTTAGAAGGCTCTGCTCTGTTGAGCATCATAGCGACAGGACAGTAAGCCTCCACTGACCGGCTGGGGATCGACCCCGTCTCCTCTGTGGAAGCAAGAACCCTAACACTGAGTCACCACAGCCTTCTGTCAGCAGTGTGGGGGTGGATGTTCTGCACAGCATTCAGTGTGAATGAGCTGCAACCCTGACCTTGACCTAGTAGCTTTCAGATGGGTCAAACACATACAAAAAAAAAATGAACAAGCTGTTTTGAGTTTTTGAGCATTTGCTTTCTCGTATTCCAGCCTCTGGCTCCTCTACCAGTGTGTACTTATGTACATGTGGCCTATGAATGAAGACTCACAGATTGATTAAGACCCAGTCCCCAAACTGTAGGATCCCGGTGGTGGTGGTGCAGCCGACACACCGCTGAGTGGGATGTAGGCCTTGTGCTGGCTGGTTCTGACCCCTCCCCAGTTCAGCCGTGCCCTGCCTGTGTGGCACCCACCGGCCGTCCATCTCATTGTGGTGTCTTGCACTGACCCTCCACCAAGCATGGCCCCTCATGACAGCATGTCCAGAGCGCGCTGACCTCTGGGTCTTGCCAGCCTAGGTTCTTCTTTTTTTTTTTTTAAACTTTGTAGTCTTTTTTTGTGTGTGTGTGTGTGCGTGTACCGGCAAATCAGATCTGACTGGTACAGGAGGAGATTGTCCCTCCTTCTCCAGCAGAGCATCTGGTGGATTCAAACCGTGTGCCTCTGGGATTGTAGTTGCAGCTCCTTGCCACTAGGCCACCAGAGCTCCCCTGCCATCCTAGATTCTAAGGAGTGTCTGCCTCTACCTTCCCAGGACGATGACTGGTCCCGGCATCCTACGGTACAAGCGATATTCACCAACACCATAGTCCAGTGTGTCAGTTCTTTGGTCTTTTATTGCTCACATGTCCAGCTTTCCCGTGCATAAGAGGCAGTTAAAAATACCAGGTGCCACCTGGTCCTCAAAGCCGAGATGATCTGTAGTTGGCTTTTATTTATAAGGGAACTCGGGTGGCATAGCCCTCAGAGGCGGTTCCAGTGCACCAGCGGCTCGATGGGAGACGGGCCGTCTCCCCGGGATTTACAGCCTGAGAACCCAACAGGGTCAGCTAGGAGTGGGTTCTGACTCACTCCTGCCTGAGCGAGTGAGCTGATAAAGGAGCCCTAGTGGTAGCATGTAGGTGCTAAGCCAGAGGTCGGTGGTTTGAGCCCACCAACCTCCACAGGAAGACGACGAGCCAATCTGTCTGCACAGATCTGCAGTCCCGAGACCCCAATAGGACAGGTCTCTGTCCTACAGGGTCGCTATGACTCAGAACCGACCCGACAGAAACGGCTGTCTTCGGGTTTGTTTACAAAAATACAAACCTTAAACCTTTTCAAAATAATATAAAATGATCTGCAGTCCTCTTCTCCGGCTTCCTAACCTCTCGTGCCGGATGGTTCAAGGCAGTGCCCGAGTCCCAGCCTGGCTTGCAGGATGAGGGAGACCCCGCGGGACAGGTGCTCACAGGATACAGCAGGTGGAAGACTTGGGTGCTGGGCCGCCATTGCAGACCTCTGTCCCCACTACACGGGAAGGACCGGGTTGTGGGAGAGGAGAGAGGACGGGGCAGGACGGTGAGGAGGACGGAAAGGATGGAGGGGCGGGGGCGGGGCAGGGGGGAGAAAGGACAGGGCAGTGAGAAAAAGGGCCTCGGTGCGTGCAGCCAGCTCCCCCTTTCCTGTGGGGGCTCCCTGTGTCCCCTCACCCCCACCCAGGGCTGGCCCTCTGGCAGCCTGAAACAGATTAGGGGCTGAGCCTTCTAATCTCGGCATCTTAGCCCTTGCGGACCTGGTGCCCTGATTACGGCAGGCCTGACCTTCCCCACATCACATCTCCACACCCAGGGCAGGGAAGCAATCTGAAAATGCAGAGCTGAGGTAGTCCACACTAGGCACATCCCAGAACTATGCCATTCAAATGCTAGGGCGTTTGTGTGTCTGGAAGTGGAGCAGGGAGGAACCAGTGTGCTCAAGGGTGCCACGTTCTTAGAATGTAGGATGAAAAGCTAACTGCAGACCCTGGCACAGGAAGGGGAGGCAGGGTGCCCCACAACCCTTTCTTCCCTTCCCTTCCTTGGCCCATCCCTCTCCCTTTCTCTCTGTCCCCTCTTTATTCCTTCTTACCCCCTTCTTTTCTTCCTTCTGTCCTCCTCCCATCCCTCTCTCATTCCCCTTCCTCGCCATCCCTCCTCCTTCCTTTCCACCCCCCCCTTCTCTGCTCCCTCCTCTCCCTTTCCCTCCCTCCCTCTCCCACCTTCCAGGCTTGCTGTTTATGTTGGATGGTGGCTTGGTGCCACCTGATGGGACAAAGACACTGCTCAGGTGGGCACTGCTCAGGTGGGGTGCCAGATGAGTGGGCTCCCCCTTCGTCCATGAGGGAGAACACAGCTCCCTCCTCAGAACATGAGAGTATCTCAGCTGGGACACTCTGAGTCTGGGCTTGTTAATGACATAAACTCTGCAGAGCAAGTTCCCTGGGATAGATATTTCCAGAAAAGGTAGGCAATGTGGTGGCCCAGCCACAGAGCGATCTTACTTCCTTCCTGTTTCTCCTCCAGCATTAACAACCCCATCCTCTGTCTTCTGCGCTAACTAGTAGTCTTGACCTTTGATTTGAGAGTGCAGCCTGCCCCCAGCAGGACAGCTGTTCATTCTCAAAGGACTGAGCCCACACAGGGTCCCATGCAGGGTCCGATCCTGCAGCCCAGTCCTCACCTTTCTTGACAGGTACAATCTCCTCCTTCTTCTTCTCCTCCTCAATGGCCTTTATCTTGGCCTCGTACTCATCGGCCAGGGCCTTCCACTCCTTCCGGTTGTTCTGCAGCCTGTCGAACATGGGCAGAATCTCCTCGTGGAAGCGGGAGAACTCCTGGCAAGGGGGTGGAGAAGTCAGGCTCCCCCCCTGGTCCCAGCCTGGCCCCTCCTTGACTCTGCCCCAGGAAGTCTGTGGGTCACCTAGGTGTGTCCAGGTGTGGCCCCTGCGCACCCGTTCTCCTGCGTCAAGGCACCATATCATCAATGTCCAGCTTTGTCTAGTGTTGCTAGCTGTAAACCTGCCCACGTCCTCCTCCCTGCCCAGAGCCCCATCCCCTCCTCACCCCCTGCGTCTGCACTGCTGCGTCAACAGGGGGGTGAGTGGCCGTACCTTGTACACAAAGGTGCACACGAAGTCGATGAAGCCCACCTGCAGCTTGGGCAGCTCGCCTGCTTTATTTCTGTCCATCATTGGCTTGTGAGGAAACAGACACAGTGAGTGCGACTGACCGTAGGCTTTAGTGTCCCAGCCTGCACCCCTAAACCTGCTAGCGGTCAGCCTTCTGCTCTCCCAGAGCCTTCCCATCCCCCCTCACTCAGCACCCTCACTGAGCACATTCGTGACATGGAACGAGCACCTTACAGATGCTGCTAGCCTGAGGGACACGGACGGCGCCCTGGCCAAGGAGGACCAACCCTGGGTCCCTGAGCAGCACAAACTGCTCACCTGAAAAATGAAACCTGGTGATTCTACTCCACCTCTTCAGAGGTACCTGGGAGGAAAGGCCTGACAACCTGCTCCCTCCCCAGAATCCACTGAAGAACCTACAGGTCACAGTCCTCCTCTAACATATACAGCGACACCATAACTGGTGGGGCCATGAAGATCCAAGACCTCCATCCGCCATCCTACCCTGGGCCTGGGGGCTCCAGAACACGGCACATTTAGCTGTTCAGGATGCCCACTTTCATGTCCCCAAAGTGCCAGTGGTGCCAACAGGGATCAGCTCGGGTCGGGCTGAGAAGAAGGAGTGCTGGGACTAGGGGTGGTGACCCTGGCTCTGTCCTAGGCTGCCCTTCTCAAGCCCCACAGAGAGCTTGTCACTGTCCATGGTGCTGAACACTCCAGCGGCCATTCAGATGCAGATACAAACACTCAGCTTCGAGCCTGATGCCCTTCTCAAGCCCCTCTGCATCTGTCCATGGTGCTGAATGGGAGCCAGGGCCCGCACCCATTCAGATGTGGACGCAACACCTTTAGTTCTGTCCTTGGTGGCTTTTCACCAGAGGACCTCTCCCTGGCGCCTCTGTCCATTGTGCTAATATGGAGCGCTTGCCCGCACCTGCATCTGTCTGTCTCCCTCCCCCCAACGTCTGTGTGTGTGTGTGTGTGTGTGTGTGTGTGTGTGTGTGTGCGCGCGCGCGCACGCGTGCACGCACACCCATTCAGGTGAGGACCCAACCATACTAGCCTTAGCCACTTTCTTCTCTGAGAAAAAAACAACAACAACACCCAGTTTGGGGTTATTCTTAGAGTTAAGGACCTTTGCCTTCCTTCCTGTGAATGTCACTTCTTCAGAGTCACCTCACATCTTATGCAGGAGGACAGATGACTGCTTCTCCTTTCCTGCTGAGTGTCTACTTGGTCTCCAAGCCTTTTCAGTGTCATGCTCCAGAGAGCAAGTGACCACGGACTGCGGCTAGCTTGGGAGATAAATCCTTGTCCTTCCTTTCTCTGTTTCCCCCCCCCCCCTTTTTTTTTTTGTGTACCGTCAAATTGGATCTGACTGGTACAGGAGGCGATTGTTCCTCCTTCTTCAGCAGAGCATCTGGTGGATTTGAACCATGCACCTCTGGGATTGCAGTTGTCCTTCCTTTCTTATGATGCGGGCGCAATCCTATGCTGTCCCTGTCCCCGTGGTGCCCATCTGTATGCCATCCGTGGTGCTAGCTGCATACTTCTGACATCAGCTTGGTGATCTAGACCATCGTATTGTCCACACCCTTGTGATGGACTCCTGCTTTCTCTGAGGACTGGATGTGGACTCTGGCCCCCAAGGCTCTCTTGTGCTGGCTCCTGAACACCCCCCCTCCATGGGTGAAGTCCTTCCCAGGGTCTTCTAGAGTGTGACTCATGGCCCAAATAGGGTGGCTCTTTGGTCCTGCCTTTGCCCTGGACCCCACACAGGCTCTTGTTTATGGAGCTAGTAGACCGGCTATACAATTTCAATATCCTTTTTACTTTTGAACAGTTGTCATGCTTTTAATAAAATTTCTTGTTTCCCATTAACTTTCTGTGTGCTCTGGTGGCGTAGTTTGTAGGGGTTGTGCTACTAAACCCAAAGGCTGTGCCTCTTTGGCAGTTCAAAGCTGCCAACAGCTCCTTAGGAGAAAGACTGGCCCTCCTCTCTCGTGAGATTTACAACTTCAGAAACCCGCTGGGGAGGCAGCTCTACTTCGGTTCTGACTGCCTGGCAAGGAGCTTGTGTTCCGAGTGTTTACCCAGGTCCCGAGCCACTTCATAATCACGTCAGACGACCCCACAAAATGCATTTAAGGACCAGAACCCAGAACTCCTAGGGGTTCCTGAGGCCCAAGACGCTGTTCAGTGCCCTTTCCAGGAATGGAAGATGCTGGAAGCAGTACTCACGATGGGCTGCTGATCCAGGACCGTCCTTTCCAAGTCGCCTTGCTCCCAGAACTCGGCTGCTACCAAAAGAGCCACCTGCAGGCACAGAGGGGGGTCCTCACTGTGGGGCCTGGCGTGTCCTTACCAGGTCGGCACCCTGACACCCTCCTCCCGCCTCCCCGGGAGCTCTGGTGGCTGAGCGGTCCAGAACTGCACCACCAACCCAAGGGTACGTGGTTAGAATCCACCAGCTGCTCCTTGGGAGAAAGATGGGCAAGCTCTTCCTGTGTGATTTACAGCCTCTGGAAACCCGCTGGAGGGTCAGCTATGGGTTGGTTCCACCTTGATGGTACACAACACCACAACTCTCTGTGTCCCAAGCCCTGTCCTCTTCTTTCTCTGCCACAGACCCTCTGAGACTTTTCACTAGTCACATCTCGGTCTCTCTGGGGTTTGAAACACAGTGAACATCGAGGGTCCTTCTGCCGTTGTCCCTCAGACTGGCTTAGAGCAGGTTGCAGCCCTCAGAGTTACTTGCAAATGCTGTGTTCACTGGGAACAGGTCTGACTGTCCACACAAACCATCTACTGTGGTGCTGACTGACCCAAGGGCCCCCCCAGCATGTTTCTGCACAGCTGCACCCCCCAGGGTTTCCAATGGCTTGGTTTTTAGAAGTTGGGTCTCCAGTCCTTTCTTCCAAGGCACTTCTCTGGGTGAACCTGAACCTCCAACCTTCAAGTCAGCAACCTATTGCCATACTGTTTGCACTGCCATGGCTACTTCTCCATGTGAGGCTCCCACAGACACAAGCTGGACCCCACAGACGCTGGCAGGCATGGTGACAAGGGCCTGCCGGAGCTCTGACCTTGCTCTGGACTTCCCAGGGCTTGGTGATAGCAGACAGGTCACATGCAGTCATCATCATTGCCCTGGGGACAGACAGAGCTCCGGTTAGATCCAGGGAGGGGCCTCTGTTCTGGCCTCTAACAGGTTGGTGACCATGGTGGTCACTGAGGTCTCAAAACAAAGTCCCTTTTAAAAAAATTATTAATTTGTATTTGTACCATCAAATCGGATCTGACAGGTACAGGAGATTATCCCTCCTTCTCCAGCAGAGCATCTGGTAGATTCGAACTGCGTGCTTCCAGGATTGCAGTGCAGCTTCTTGCCACTAGGCCACCAGAGCTCCCTACAAAGGCCCTTCTTTATCTGCTGATTCTACTCCCAGGAATTTATCCTGCAGTCAACTTGTACACGTGTGTGATGTTGGACACAAGTGGTGAGGGCAGGGCCCGATCCCAGTGTCCTGTCCATAAGTGGTCTTACTGTCCTCACCCCACCTTCCACCTTCAGAGTTCACTGGCTCCCTACCCTGTTCCTTCTCCCCACTTGCACCCCACACCCCTGCTCACCTCATCTCCCTCTAGCAGCTCCCAAAGGCCCTCCCCCCTCAGCACCCCTGAATCACACACTAACGTCAGCATGTCCTAGGGGGCCCTTGGAAGAACTGGGCACCGAATGGCCGGTGCACCGTGTCCTCGCCTTTGCCCTGAGCTGGCCTTGGGGAGGTCACGAGTTCTGCAGCTCTGCTTTGTAGATGAAGATGAGGAGGCTCAGGAAGGTGAAGGGAATGATAGCCGAGGGCCATGAAGCGGGGAAAGGGCCTGCCAGGGCCCACATCCTGTGCTGTGTCCCTTCAAACAGGGAGCACGTCAGGATGACAAGTGTGTGTGGAGTCTTAACACACTGCTTTATTGTTATTGTCTTCACCCTAACAATGTATCTGTCAGATGTTGTTGTTGAGTGCCGTGGCGTCAAGGTCGACTCATAGTGACTTTATGAACAAACCTAATGTCTTTCCATAGCTATTGTATTTCTCCAAGTTCACAGAGTTTCCAGAGGCATGTGGTTTAGGAAGTGGATGCCACTCCTGCTTCCAAACCTGCTTTATAACTAGGAACTTCACCAAACACTGTCCACACTGGGAAACCATTATGGTATCTGATACCCCAATGGCACAAGGTTCAGCATCACAGCAAACTCAAGTTACTTCACACAACACATTGACAAAGAGTGATGTGCAAAGCGGAAGAGTGTCCTTCCAGCTACAACAGCACTAGTCTCCTTTAGCAGTGGTTAAGTGTTGTCTAGTCTAATACGACTCAGAGTAAGCTTTGCACAAAAGACCTGAACTCTGTTCTATAATTAACATAATTTCTGTATATTTATAAAAGAGTTTGTAGAGTTTCCAGAGGCAACTAGTTCAGGAAGTGGATGCCACTCCTGCTTCCCAACATGAATCAATCTGGAAGCTCATCCAACCACTCTACATAATGGGTAACCATTATGGTATTTGACACGACTATAAAATAGTGTTCAGCATCACAGCAACTCAAAGTTGTTCAGTACAGCAAATAGAAAGACAATTGCTGTGTCTTTTAAAGAACATTCTTTTAATTAAAAAGAACGTCCTGTCAGATAGTCCTGTTTAACCTATCCTGGAAATGCTCCTGCCTCAGCCCACATAGAGTGAGTGCCTCAGAACGTCTGCTGGGCCAGCCCGCCCCGCTGTGCGGTGATTCATTTTATGTGCACATGGCTAAGCTGTGCTTCCCAGTGGTTTTTTTCAACCAGCAGTCTAATTCTGTTCCCTTTTGTAACATCACAGGAGGGGAGCTCTGACGGGAGGTCCTTTGTGGTCAGCTCCGTGGGAGAAAGATGGGCCGCCTCCTCCCGTTCTGATTTACATGCAGCTTTGAAAATGCCCCAGAATGTGGGTAAGTCAGAACCCACGGCTGGCACTGTGTGTGAAAGTAAAGGACAGTAATGCCGTGTCATAACCGTCTATCATGCGACGCCGTGCAGTGTGATGGGATGCCATCATTTTCCGTATGTGACACAGGGTACATTAATATACTGCTGTCGGTGAGCTCTGGTGGCCTAGTGGCAAGAAGCTGCACTGCAATCCCAGAGATGTGAGGTTTGAATCCACCAGATGCTCTGCTGAAGGAGGGACAATCTCCTCCTGTACCAGTCAGATCTGATCTGATGGTACACACACACACACACACACACAACAACAACAACAAAAAAAAGAAAAATATAAAATAAAAATAAAAATGCTGCTGTCATCTTCCATCATGTGACGTGATGTTGACCTCCCACAACGCAACAGGATGTGATCACCTTGCACACAGTGATGTTATCACTGTCTATAATGTCATGTGATGTGATGTGATCACCTTCCACGGTGTCATCTAGCAGAATGTCGGCAATCCATCAATTTTAAACAGAATTTCTTTGTGGGTGATCTTCTTTGGACTATGAACAGACATCCGGGAAGAAATCACCCTCTCCCCCACTGCACTGTCTCCATCAGCTGGACACAGGCTGCAGAAGCATCCGGTCACCAAGTGACCACCTGTCCTGAGGTCGCTGGGCCCTGCCACCCCCACAACAGTGTTCTGTGAAGTCCTACAAGCTAATGGTCCTCTCTATAATCCCACACTGCACTGGTTCTGTTTGTCTGAAGAACCCCGGGCAGGACACATCCATCAGAAAGGATCCGAATTCATGTAACAAGCATCCTTCTGATGAACATTTACGTTATTTCCCTCATTATTTTATTACAAGCAATGTTACGGTGAACAACCCTTTTGTGTACAGCATCTCACATGGAGCTCTGATGGCCTACCGATAAGGAGTTGCCCTGCCCATGCAAAGGCATGGGGTTCGAATCCAGAAGCTGCTCTAAGGAAGAAAGATGGGCATTCTCCTAGTAGGAGATTTCTACTTTCTAAAAACCCACTTGAGACCCAACTATGAGCCACTCAATGTCATATACCAGTAAATACCTGGGAATAGACTTGATGGCTAAAGAGGGAGTATTTGTTTTGAGTAAACAAGGTCAATAAGTAATTAACTACTTTTCTTCCACCTCCAGCCCAGGCCCCCCCCCGCCCCGCCCCGCCCCCAGGCCCTGCCCCCCGAAGGCTCTGCGCCCCCCCCCCCGCGCTGCTCACATGACGATCTCCTTCCGCGTGGTTTCCAGTGACAAGTACTCCACCCACTTGTCCCTGTCCTCGTAGTTCTTGGACTCATCTACGATCTTCTGGAACATGGTCCTCTTCCTGAAGCCCCACAACAGGGGAGAGATGTGTGTGGGAGGAAGTGGAGGGAGGTGGGGTGGGGGTTGGTGTACGGTGACCCCGGGTCTCCCCTCAGCCCCCTGAGGCCCTCCCCATGCATGTCCTTGAGCCTAACTCCAGCCCCTCTTTGTAGGAGGCACAGGACCTGGTTGAGGGCCTTGGGCCCAGGGCTAAGTGTGCCTGAGCTCAGGACGTTCCGGGCTGGGCTAGGGGGCTCAGCATCATGCCCTGAACTCTTTGTATCCCCAAAATGGACATTTTGCATGGCCTGGACTCCCCACACCCTGAGAATGAACATCCTGGCATAATGGACTCTTGACACCTCAAGAATGAATGTCTCTGTGCCCTGGACTCCCTGCACCCCAAGAATGGACATCCCTGTACCCTGGACTCCCCACACCCCGAGAATGAATGTCTCTGTGCCTTGGACTCCCCACACCCCGAGAATGGACATCCCTGTGCCCTGGAACCTCCCCCCCACCTCAAGAATGAGCGTCTCTGTGCCCTGGACCCCCGCCCGCCTGCTGGAGGGGCCCCCAGTCAGCAGCACCCACTTGAAGTAGAGGGCCAGGTCAGTGGCGATGATGGCGATGTCCATGAGGTGGATCACGTGCTGGTGCTGGCGCTGGTTGAGGTTCTGGAAGATGTTCAGGGTCTGCGGGGGGAGGGCACCCGTCACCAGGGTGTGCACTGCCACAGGGCCTCCTGCCCACCCAGTGTGCCTCGGGGTCCTCCAGGTCCTAGACTCCCCTCCTGTGGAGGCTCAGGTCGACCTCCTGCCTTTCCGTCCCTCCTTCCATGGCCTCTACCCAAGGCCTCCTCTGGGCCACCAGCCTGGACCCAGGCTTCCCAGACGACGGCTGGAGCGAATGGGTGGGGACAGTTCCAGGCAGGGTGGGGGCCCTGGTTCCTCTGCTCCTTTTCCACCCTGTCAGCTGGACTCCTCTCTCCAGCTCTTATCTCTACTTGACCGTAACCCCCTACTCCCTTGATGCCAGCTCCAGCCGCACATGTCCCTGCACAGCTGCTGGGCACCAAGTCCCCATAACCCCAGAGAGGCTCCCGGACGCAACCCTTGGCCTTGCTCCCCTTGCCCAGAGCGGCCATTCCTGGGGTCCGCAGTATTCCCCCACCCCTCAGAGCGCTGTAGCGGCTGGCCACGCAGCCATGCACCAGCCAGGAACCAGGAACGAACCTCCTCGGCAAGCAGGAACTTCCCGAACTCCAGGTGGTGCCTCTCCAGGATCGAGGAGCCGTGGAGCTTCGCTAAGGGGTTCTGAGACCTGTGGTCAGAGTTTAGTTAAAGACGAGACGGGGTTAGAAGCACAGGCAGCAGTGTGTGCACGGAACTGCGTCCTAACCCCAGCGCTGGGCCTGCCACCTGGCCGGGGAACTGGGTCTAGAAGACGCTGCAGTGCCACCTGCGAGCAGGACTCCGCACAGCGCCCAGTCCTCTGCCTGGCCCTCCACCGGGTCCTCAGGGCCGGGCAAGTTCTCGGCCTTTGCCAGCGTTGGGGCATGACCACTTTCTGTCACTGCTATTAGAAACACACTATCTGTGCGTTCTTTCTCTGATAGCTTTCCAGGGCGTCGTGGTGGTGCGGTAGATTAGCACTGCTAATCGAGAAGGCTCTGGTGGCCCAGTGGAAGGGATCCGCACTGCCAACACTAAGGTATGCGGATCAAGCCCACCAGCGGCTCTGCGGGAGAATGACGGGCAATCTCCTCCCGTGGGATTTACTGCCTGTGGAAATGAACTCGAGGGTCAGCTATGAGTCAGTTCTGACTTGTCAGCTCACAGCAACAATTGCTCGGTGATAAGGAGTTACGCTGGAAGTCAGAGGGACTTGGTTCAAATCCACCAGCTATTCTCGAGGGATTTATAGTCTCTGAAAACCAGCTTGGAGTTGAGTCCGACTCGATGGCACATAACAAATCACACACTTTACTAAGTACAGTCGGGGGTGAACACGTGCTCTTCTCTCTGCACTGGGAGAGCACAGAACTGAGGGGCTGCTTGATGATAGCTGCGGTTTTGGGGAGGCCTGAGACCAGACTCCTATCTCTGAGGTCTGCCTACACCGTGGAATCTGAGTAGTGACTAGAGATGGAGGAACAGACAGGGGTGCATGGGGGGGATGGACACCCTCTATAAGTGAAGAGACACCGGTAAGCTGAGGGACCCTGGTGCCCCCCCATAGCTCTGGAGGGCCCCTGTCTGGGTTAGAGGGTGCAGACGCCCTCCTCCCACACCCCAGCAGCTTTGGAGGGCCCCCACCTGGGCTAGGGGGTGCAGCTACCCTGCTTTTATGCCCCAGGGCCCCTGGCTGGGCTAAGGAGGTACAGCTCCCCTATCATGTCCCAGGAGCCCTGGAGGGCCCCATCCAGGTTAGGGGTACAGCAGTCCTCCTCCCATACCTCAGCAGCCTTGGACGGCCCGTGGCCAGGTTAGGGGGTACAGCCACCCTCCTCTCATATGCCAGGGCCCCTGGCTGGGTTAGAAGGTGCTGCTTGCCTCCTATTGCACCCCAGTAGCCTTGGAACACTCTGCCCAGGTTAGGGGGCACAACCATCCTCCTTTCACACCCCAGCAGCCATGGAGGGCCCTGCCCGGGCTAGGGGGTGCAGCCGCCTTCCTCCCACACCCCAGCAGCAATGGAGGGCCCTGCCCGGGCTCGGGGGTGCAGCCGCCTTCCTCCCATGCCCCAGTAGCCCACTTCATCTGGTAGAGGTTGTTGGTGCCGCGGTGGTCGATGTCATGGCACAGTCCAGCCGTCACCATGGCGAAGGCCTCCAGGTCTGTGTAGTAGTCTTTCAGCTTGCCGGTCTGCGGGGACAGCACTGCCAGTGACCTCTGAGTGCTGCAGCCCTGGGCTGTGTCCTCCCACCTGGCTCTTCCCCCCTCACTCCCTGTGAGGTCTGGGACCACCTGCCCACTTCCTGAGGGTAAGAGTGAGGGTAGGATGGGGTGCACCAGTCCTAGGGGTGCTGGCCTCCTCTGCTATCTCTGCCAAGGGGCTGCAGGAAGCCTTAGGGGCCCCTCAGGACCCTGTGTGGACCCTGCCTCTAAACGTGGGATAGGGATTCTGGAACCAGGAGGATTGGATCAAACTGCAGATTTGTCCTGCTTGCAATGGCCCTGGGCTCACAGGGACCTGTCCTCTCTGCAGCGGCCCTGGGATCACGGGGACCCATCCTCTCTGCAGCGGCCCTGGGCTCACGGGGACCCGTCCTCTCTGCAGCGGCCCTGGGCTCACGGGGACCCGTCCTGCCCATCCGCATCCACGCACCATGAGCAGCGTGAACATCGTCTGGGCCACGTTGAAGCCGTGGCGCCAGTTGTGGTAGGTGATTCTCCGGTACCCTTTGCTGACGGAGAAGAGGAAGCGCACCAGGACCTGGGGGAGAGGCGGAGAGAAGACGTGGCTCTCAGCCGGGGAGGGGACACTGTCTGGGCGTTAGAACGTTGTCGGTACCATCGAGTCAGTCCCAGCCAACAGTGACCCAGGTCCACCTGCCGGCTCCTACACCAGCCTCACAATTGCTACACTTGAGCCCACGGCTGCGGACAGCATGTCGGCTCATCCCGTTCCCTGTCTCCTCTACCTCTTCTAAACGAACAAGGACAGAGAAGAAGAGGTGATGCCTCTGGATGATGGTGTTGGTGAAGATGACTGACGGCCTCGTGGGTGACCAGGAGAAGAGACAGATCTGCCTGGGAAGATGCTGAGCTGGAATGCTCCTTAGCAGCGAGGAGGGTGACACTGTCGCAGACACTCTGCACATTATGAGGACGGACCAGTCAGTCCTTGCAGAAGGACCTCATGCTTGGTCAAGCCGAGGGCTAGTTTAAAAGCAGCAGATGCTCAGAAGAATCGTCCGAAAGGAATGTCTGATCAGGCATCATATGCATGACAACAATCATGAACAAAGGGTGCACTGTGGGGTGAGTGGGGAAGGGGGAAGAAAATGTAGAATAATTTTAAAAAATGTATTTTTTTTAAAAGAGGAAGACCCTCAATGTCATGGACTGAAACAGAGGCTGCACCGTGCAGCGCAAGCACAGAAATTGTGCAGACAATGCCTAGTGGCTGGCGCCTGCTGTTGGACACAGGTTGTTAAGAGGTGGAATTATGGCTCTTCGCCCTCTTCCTGGTTCCCGTGAAATCGTAGCCAGGAGGGTCGAGCTGTGCAGTTCCAGCGGGTACAAGATCTACCCTGGGCACGGGAGGCGCTACGCCAGGACCGACAGGAAGGTGTTCCGGTTTCTTAACTCCCAAAATGCGAGTCGGCTTTCCTTTCCAAAAGGAATCCACGGCAGATAAACTGGACTGTCCTCCACAGGAGGAAGCACAAAAAGGGCCAATCGGAAGAAAGGTCAAAAGAAAAGAACCCGCCAAGCAGTCAAATTCCAAAGGGCCCTCACTGGTGCATCTCTTGCTGATACAATGGCCAAGAGGAATCAAAAGCCTGAAGTTAGAAAGGCTTAATGAGAACAGGGTGTCAGGGCTGCCAAGGAAGCAAAAAAAGGCTAAGCAAGCACCTAAAAAGACCGCAATGGCTGCTACTTAGGCTCCCACAAAAGCAGCGCCTAAACAAAAAATTGTGAAACCTGTGAAAGTTTCTGCTCCTCAAGTTGTTGGAAAACTCCAAGTTGGCACATGAGACTTAAATATTCAGCTATAACAACAACAACAACAACAACAACAAAGTTGGAATTATGGCACCTAACGGCACATTCAAGTGTAAGTCTCACCAAGATGTTACCATGGTGGTGGTTTTGGCGTGATGTCCTTATGACCCCATTACCCACAGGCCCAGCACACCCCATCACACCTATTTCTTAGATGCCCCATGGTCCCCCTTAAGTCCCCACTAGTTTAACAGTAGTTTCTGACCATCGTTGGAGATGGTTCTGCCCAGCTTGCACCCCATTTCTGGGTTGGGGGTATCAGATTGACTACCCACAGTGGGCAGAGGGAGTGGTAGAAAAACTCAAGATGGACAGAAGCTAAGGGACACTCCATTGTCCACGAGGGTTCTGGAGACACCACCCTAAAACTGGGGAGGACCCAGGACATTTTAAGAAGAAAAGGTCCGTTTTAGGGGCTGGGTGTTACCCAGTGGTGGAGAGACAAGACGGCAGCTATAGGGCCCAAGCCTGGGGCTGGGCAGGAGGTGTGTGAGCCCTCTGTCTCTCTGGGAGGAACATGGGGCGAGGAGAGCCTTTTAAAGCCCTCGCTGTGGTATTTTAGAAACCTATCTGGAAGTGTGTAAGTTATCATTTGTTTGCGCTTTTCCTTAGTGTTTAGTCCAACTTCCTTTGGAAAATGCCAGCCTGCTGCACGGGCTCTGGAGGCTGAGAAAGGAGGGTGTTCTTGTCTGGACCATGAGGACCAGATACCACAGGCCCCGTGGAGTGAAGGTGGAAGCAGAAGGGGATCTGGAAACCCACTGAGTGGGGCAAGACGTGTCAGGCAAGAGCTGGGGATGCTGCCATCCCTGCACCCTGTGAGGATCCCTGGGAAGTTCTGCTGAGTTCAAACCCTAAAGAATGCGCTGTGATTTCTATGTATGTGATGCTGTTGTTAGGTGCCTCGAGCTGAGTATGACTCTTAGCGACCCTGTGAACAACAGGTCTGAATCCTGTCCTGTGCCATCCTCATCATCTCTGACACATTCGAGCCCATTGCCACAGTCTCTATGTCTTGTCCAACACCACAGCTCAAAGGTATCAATTCTGCTGTCATTCTTATTCATCGTCCAGCCCTCAGAGACATAGCAAGTGATGGGAAGGACCATGGCTTGAATCAGATGCACCTTAGTTTTCAGGCTGACATCATTGCTCCTCCTCAGTAACTTGGAGAGGTCCCTGCCAGCAGATTGGCCCAGTGCAACACATCTCCTAATCTGGCTGCTAGTACCAAAGGCATTGACTTAGCCAAATAAGAGGAAATAGACAATTTCAGTCTTTTCTTCTGTATCTACCATGAGGTTTCCTATAGGTGAAGTGGTGAGGATTGTCATTTCCTTGATGTTGAAATGCAATCCATATTGGAGGCGGTAGTCCTTGATCTTCCACAGCAAGCCTTTCCAGTCCTCTTCACTGTGAGCAAGTAAGGTCGTGTTCTCTGGGCAACACAGGTTGTTGATGAGTATTCCTCTGACCTTGAGGCCACATTCTCCTTCACAGAGTCCAGCTTCTTGAGTGATTTGCTCAGTGAACAGAGTGAACAGGTAGAGAAAAAGGATACAGGTCTGATGCACACCTTTCCTTTAGGTGCTAGGCTGGTCCTATTTACTCCCTACTCCACCCCAACTCTTCCATGTCTACTCAACAATGCACATAATGATTAAATTGCTTGTAATTGGTATTTACCACATCATGTATCCATCCACTCACCCACCCACCCACCCATGAACCTTCCATCCATCCATCCATCCATCCACACACACACCCATCCACCCATGAACCTTCCATCCCTCCCTCCCTCCATCCATCCATCCTTCCATTTATCCATCTATCCATCAGTATTCACTCATCTACCCATCCATCCTTCCTTCCTTCCTTCCACCCACCCACACTTCCATTTATCCATCTATCCATCAGTATTCACTCATCCATCCACCCATCCATCCATCCATGCACCTATCCATCGATCCCTCCCTCCATCCATCCACCCACACTTCCATTTATCCATCTACCCGTCAATATTCAGTCACCCACCCACCCAGCTATCCATCTATCTCCCTATCCTATCTACGTACCCACTCACTTACCCATCTACCCACATTCACTATCCATCTTTCCATCCACAAATATATTCACCCATCCATTCATCTATGCATCCATCCCACCGCCCACTCATATGCACTCATTCCTCCACCCACCCATTCAACCATCCATGCATTTAGTGTAGATATATTTGCTGAGTATATTACATGTATCTGGCCTGTTCTTTTGGCCTGGGATATTCAGCACTCTCCTCCAACACCACAACTCAAAGGCATCAATTCTTCTGTCATTCTTAATAACTTTCCTGCTCTCAGGTGCATAGCAAGTGATTTAAAAGACCATGGCCTGAATCAGGAGCACCTTAGTCTTCAAACTGACATCATTGCTCTTCAGTATTTTGGAGAAATCCCTGATAGGAAACTGGCCCAAAGCAACACTTCTCCTGATTTTCTGCCTGCTGGTACCAAGACTGTTGATCTAATCAATATGAAATCATTGACCATTCCAGTCCTTTCTCCATCTATTGTAATGTTGGCTGCTGGTCCTGTGGTGAGGACCTTTTCTTCTTGATGTTGAGATCTAATCCATACTGAAAGCTGTGGTCCTTGATCTTTTGCTGCCAGCATTTCACATCCTTCTTACTTTCAGCAAGGAAAGTTGCGTCCTCATCATAACAGAAGTTGTTGATGAGTCTTCCTCCAACCCTGATGCCACATTCCTCTTCACAGAGTCTGGCTTCTTGAATTATTTGCTCAGCAAACAGACTAAATAGGCACAGATAAAGGACACAACTTTGTCTGTTTTCATGGTGCTTTTTTGGGTCACTTGGGTGAAAGTTTTCCATTGAACACGTTGTACACACCTTGTTTTGTGACATTATTTGCAATCTCCTTGATGTAATAGTACTGCTGGCCTAGTGGTTAGAAACTGTGCTGTAATCCCAAGTATAGGCAGTTCGAATTCACCAGTTGCTCTTCAGAAGGCTAGGCCATCTCCTCCTATGCAATTGACTGCCTCGGCCAGCCCCCTGGAGGGCCTGCCATGGGTCAGTTCTGACTTGAAGGCACACAGCTGCGCCTTCCTCTCTGGGTCCCGTTTGCCCTCCTTTCCTGCCCTAGTTTCCTGGACAGCTGCTGCCCTTCTGATCTTGTATGTCTGATGTCCTGGGGAGCATGCTCTTCCTCGGGGTTGTTGTTCTTGTTGTTTGACTGAAATGTGATCCCCATGTGTGGGTTCAGGTCTAGGTTTGAAGAGTTTCTAAGGGCTCAGTCTTAGGGGTCCACCTGTCAGACCAGTAAATTGGCTTCTCTCTCTCTCTTTTTTAATCTTTAACTTCATTCTGCATTTTTCTCTCACTTTGTGAGATCTTCTGAGGACCCAATCGGAGTAACAGTGAGAGGTGGGCACCATCTAGATTTTCTGGCTTCAGGACAGTGCAGGCTGAGCTTCACGTGTCCACTGGATGAACTGCTTCCTTGAGTCCTCAACGTTATTCACTCTTCTTCCCTCTAGAAGAACTCTAGAAAAACTTAGAGCTGCATCTTAGATGGTCAGACTCCTTGTCCCCATTCTCTGCTCAGCTAGACAGTGAGATGTCACCAGCTGTTCAGCACCAGTTCCTCTCCTCTCCTCTCCTCTCCTCTCCTCTCTTTATCCTCAATCCTAAAGTGGCTTCATCCAGTGCTGGAGGGTGGTCCAAAGAGTTAACGTGCTCAGCAGTTATCTGAAAGGTTGGCGTTTTAAGTCCAACCAGAAATTATTCAGGAGTATAGACTCACAACCTACATCTGAAAAACCAGCCATTGAAACCCTGTGGCTGTCAGTTTTGCCCTGACACCTGGGCACCATGGGTCAGAGTGACTGGAAGATGACTGGCTTCCACACCCTGGTCATCATAATGTCTCTACCCTGGACTCTTCCATCTCATTCATCACGTTTCAAGGAGTGTTCAAAAAGTTGAACATAGAAATCCCATATGACCCAGCTATTACACTGCTAGGAACACACTCCAAGCAAATGAGAACTGAGACACAACAGACATACATACACCCACGTTCATAACATTATTCACAATAGCAAGAAAATAGAAAACAGTCCAAATGTCCATCAACAAACAAGTGGACTGAGAAAGTGTGGCACATTCACACAATGGAATACCATGCAGCACTCAGGAACAATGATTTCACAAAACACTATACAACAGGGGAGAGTATACAGAGCATTATACTGAGTGGAATAACTTAGTCTCATAATGACAAATACTGCATAAGATCATTATGTCAAAATAGAAGGATGACTAAGCAAGAGATGTATAAATGTTTAAAAAGGAAGGGGAAAGAGAGAAGGGTGTGGAAAAGGAATATGGCGTTGGGATTGGAAGGACACTCATCAATAACCTGCGTTATGACACAATCTTGCTTGCTGAAAGTGAGGAGGGCTGGAAGCACTTGTTGAAAAAGATCAAGGAATGCAGCCTTCAGTATGGATTGCATCTCAGTGTCAAGAAAACAAAGATTCTTGCCCCTGGACTGATAGGCAACATCACGATGGATGGACAGCTTCATTTTGCTTGGATCCACAATTAACACCCTTGGTATCAGCAGTCAGGAAATAAGGAGACGCATTGTACTGGGAAAATCTGCATTTAGGGACCTCTCCAAATTATTGAGGAGTAAAGATGTCAGTTTGAGGACTAAAGTGCATCTGATTCAGGCCATAGACTTTCTGATCACTTGCTATGCATCTGAGAGCTGGACAATGAATAAGGATGACAGGAAAAGAATTGACACCTTTGAGCTGTGGTGTTGGAGAAGAGCACTGAACACCCCATGGACGGCCAAGAGAATGAACAGATACATCTTGGAGAGGGTGCAGCCAGAGTGCTCTTTGGAGGCAAGAATGACGAGGCTGTGCTTCACATACTCTGGTTATGTTGCAGGAGGTGCTATTCCTTGAAAGACATGATGCTAGGAAGGGCAGAGGGTCGGCAAAGGAGAGGAAGACCCTCGACCTGGAGGACTGACACAGTGACTGCTGCAGTGGGCTCTTGTGTGTCAGGAAGTGTGAGGATGGTGCAGGACAGAACAGGGTTCAGATCTTTTGTTCATAGGGTTGCTATGAGTCATATTCTGACTCAATGGCACCTAATAACAAAAACATTAAAACAATACAATGTATATGAATGACTGTATAAAATACAATGTACACGAATGTATAAAACACAAAGTGCATGAATGAAATAAAACATAAATGAAAGATTGTACAGAACACAATGTACGTGCATAAGTGACAATGTGTATGAATGACTGCATGCAAACCAATTAAAATATGTTTTTAGAAAAGATTCAGTTGGTGTTGGTCTTGAGCCTGTGAACACGCTCAGAACAGAGGTGAGCCCTCACCACGTGGGAGTGTAACTTGAATGCACCCAGCTTTGGGGAGGCGGCTGGCCCCCCAGCTTATCCTTCCATCTCTCCGCCTTCCCTGCCGCTGACCCCTCACCTCCTGCGGAATCTGGAACTTGCGGACCACACCCAGCTCGTAGTACATCTGGATGCCACACTTGACCAGCTCCAGCTCCGTGCACTCCAGATCTGAGAAGTGGAACTCGTAGATGTCGAACTTGTTGGGCCCCGGGAGCTCTTCTTTCTGTGGGAGAGGTGGTGGGGCTGAGCAGGGCAGGGCCCATGGCAGCCCCTGCTTGTTCCCGGCCTCTTTGCCTTCCAGAACCCTCTGTCCAGCCCCCAGCTGCCCACTAGTCCCAACACCTCAGGCTCCTTGGTGACTCCTGCACTTCCAGGCAAATTGCCTGCCCAGTCCGGCTTCCTCCACTCTCTTCCCACCTGGTGCCCCAATGCCAGCAGCCTCCACCCGCTCCCTCTGCACCTGAAGGACGGGGTGGCTCTCTTACCAGAATTTTCTCCAGCTCCTCCTCCTCACAGTCTGCAGGCTCCTTCCCTAGACGTTCTCTTGTTGGCTGGCAAAGAACAGCACACGTGTTATGACCGTCAGCACCATAACGGATACCTGCCGTGGGCACATGGCACAGATGACAGCGTCCCCTACGCCCATCACCGTGAGCTCGCGGATGGTCACCTGATGCCTCGCATCCTGTGGCCGCCATGAATGGCAGGCAAACCATGCTCTACACAGAATGTGCATTCGGCCCCCTCCCTGCATGACGGCTCCCTCCCTGCTCTGAGTCTTTGACTTCAAGCGCCTGGCATAAGGTGACCTGGTGGACCCCTGGCCCCCTTGTCATGTAGGGCATCCTCCTTATAGGAGAACCTATGCCACGCATTTTTTTAAAAATTATTATTTTTGTGTGCGTGTACCGTCAAATCAGATCTGACTGATACAGGAGGAGATTGTCCCTCCTTCCCCGGCAGAGCATCTGGTGGATTTGAACCGTGCGCCTCTAGGATTGTAGTTGCAGCTCCTTGCCACTAGGCCACCAGAGCTCTCCGCCACCCATTTTGGGGCTGTCCTCTGGAACTCAGAGCCAGGGGATGGGCTCCAAGGAGCCCAAGGCTCATCTACAGGGGAGATGCTGGGGCCTTGAAGGGAATGATGGGGTACCCAAACCCATGTCCACAGCACCTCAGCTCAGTGGCTACTTCTCCTTGGGCTCTCTATCCCTAAAGGACATTCTCTGTCCCAAGCCCTCCTGGGCAGGATAGCAGCTTTGGCAGTCCTGCTAGAGGGGTGACATGTGGGCCATAGAGGACAATGGTCACATCAGAAGGTCCAGCCAGTACCTCTGACTGGCTGATGGGAGAGTGCCCGGCATGGCTAACATGCCCTGTGTGCCCCTGTCCTCACAGGGAGAACTGGTGGATTATCTAGCGGGCCGGTGCCACTCATTCCTGCTTCACAGACAGGAAACAGCTGCAGAAAAGGACCTTCTGCTGGTGGTACGCTGCTTGGGGACCCCAGGCCGGAAGCCAGCTATCTGACCTCAGGTATGCACCCTAACCTTTGGGCAGAGGAGGGACACACAGAAAGGAAGGGGTGCAGTACCAGGATTGACTGGATCTCGTCCTTGTCACATCTCACGTGGTAGAGGACCATGTCCTGGGCGATGTCCTTGCGGTTCTCCAGCTTGTTCATCTTGTCGTAGGTGTCGGTGTTGAGGACTGACCAGCCGAGGAACTGCGTCAGGGACTGGGGGATAGGGCCATCGAGTCACTCACCCTCGGTGTCCTACTGTGTGCTGAGCACCTGCTGTGTGTCGAGCACCTACTGTGTGTTGAGCACTTGCTGCTACTGTGTGTCAGTACCTGCTGTGTGTTGAGCACCTACTGTGTGTCGAGCACCTACTATGTGTTGAGCATCTGCTGCTGCTGTGTGTGTCAACCACCTACTGTGTGCCGAACGCCTGCTGTGTGTCAACCACCTACTGTGTGCTGAGTGCCTGCTGTGTGCCAAGTGCCTGCTGTGTGCCGAGCACTCGGTGTGTGCTGAGCACCTACTGTGTGCAAGGCCCTTTCATCTCGGTATGTGGCCCCTGGGGTCACCTGGAAGCTCTGAACCCCCTGGATGAGGTGCCCACCACAGGTTTCCAGGAATGTGACCTCCCAAACTCTCCCCAGGTTTCGTGGAAACAGGGAGTGACCCTGCCCGCCAGTGTCCCACAGCATCGTGCGGGGCGTCCCCTCAGAGTGATGCCAGTGACGGGCCGTTACCTCCATGAGAACTTCATCCTGCTCGTCAAAGGGCTTCCCGTCTTTCCTGTTGTAGAACGTGGCCACGCCCACGATCTCCTCCTTCTTGTTGACGATGGGCATCGACAGGACATTCTTGATGGTCCATCCCGACTCGTCCAGGGGGCCCTCCTGCAGGGAGAGGGCTTCGTCTGTGTCCCTCCAACAGTGACGGCTGGGCTGATGCTTCTGGACCTTCCTCCCTGGACTCCACCCCCATGTGCTGGGGCTGTGTCTCCTGTTAGAAGGGCAGGGGGACAGCCCCTCTCCCAAGGCCACCCTACTGGCTGCTCTCACACAGCTCTCAGTTACTGAACAAGGAGGTCTCATGCTTTCACAAATTACACAGCTGGCCCTGCCTCCTATCCCACTGGTGCCGGGTGTGGTCTGTGAAATACAGGAGGGGGACCATTTCTAGAGGAGCCCATAGAGATAGATTATGATCCATCGATTCTCTTTCTTCCTCCAAAACCTGCCTTGGGCACACAGTCTCCATATAGACAGCTGGATCAGACTTGAACTCTTGAACCCAAAGGGCCTAACCAAATCTAGCCAAGATCAACGGAGTGCAGAAGATCCCATTCCAGATCAGCTAAGCCCCATTCAGACCCCAGTCAAGCCCAAGCCCTAGACCTGACTACCCCAGTCAAGCTCAACTGAGCCAAGATAAGCCCCCACTCCAAGACCAGCCACAGCCCAGTCAAGATCAGCTGAGCCCAGATAAGCCCCCCCACTCCAAGACCAGCCACGTCCCAGTCAACATCAGCTGAGCCCAGCCAACATCAACCTCCTGCTAGCCAAACTCTAGTGAAGTCTCAGCCATATTCAGTCAAGATCAGCTGAGTCCAGATGAGCCCAGTTCCTCATATCAGCCATGTCCCAGTCAAGAGCAGCAGAGCCCCAGCCAAACCCTAGGGAAGTCCAGCCATACTCAGTCAAGATTAGCTGAGCCCAGATGAGCCAAGCTAAGGCCCAGTCAAGATCAGTCAAGCCCAACCAGTCCCAGCTGAACCTTAGCCATGTCCAGACATGATTTTTTTTTAAAATTTAGGTTGTTTATTTTTCATTTCAATGAACATCTACAGAGATTTTGGGATTCCATTCATTCATTGTTGCACCCTTCTCCCCGCACAAACCCCTCCCCCCAGACATGATTAATAAAGACCCAGTCGAGTCCTAGACAAAACCATCTAAGCCCCAGCTTAACGCAGGCATGTGAGCATGAATTACATGCTCTTAACAGTCCCCCACTGAGATTCTGAGATTGTAGCTCAAGCAGCAAAGACACACTCAGCCCTTGGCTTCTATATCCAAACATCTTCCCCGTCCCAAGTACTGAAGAGCAATGATGTCACCCTGGAGACTAAGGTGCGCCTGATACAGACCATGGTCTTTGCAATCACTTGCTATGTGTCAGAGAGCTGGACAATGACTAGGGATGATAGAAGGAGAATTGATGCCTTTGAGCTGTGGCACTGGAGAAGAGTACTGAATATACCATGGACTGCTAAGAAAACAAACAGATTCATCCTGGAGAGGATGAGACCAGGCTGCTCCTTGGAGGCAAAGATTCTGAAGCTTCGTCTAACAAACATACTTCAGACATGTTGTAAGGAGGAACCAGTCCTTGGAGAAGGACATCATGCTTGGGAGGGTGGAGGGACAGTGCAGGAGAGGAAGATCTTCTATGAGGTGGGTTGATTCAGTGACTAGGGTAATTGAGGTGGGTGTGTTGGAGACAGTGCGATTGGCACAGGACAGAGCAGGGTTTAGAGCTGTTGTACATAGGGTTGTTATGAGTCACAGGTGACTCGATGGCACATAACAACAACAAGAACAAGAAATACAAATCCATTTCTAAGATGGACCAATACCTGGAATTTAAACATCTCATCGGCCGAGGTGTTCATGATGTTACAGATCTGAAAAAGGACCAGAAGAATAATCTCTTAGAAGGGGACATATTTAGGGCAGGACTGTCAGAAGGGGCTCCCAGCCCTACCCTACAATTATCAGATGGGTGACCCAGCCCCAGCCTCATCTGCAAGAAGGAAGCTTTTTTTAGGCAAAGCAGAACAGCCAGAGGCTGGCTGGGCGAGGTGCCGGCTAGGGCCAGGGCTGCATGTGGGGAGCAGCACAAGCGAGCAGCGGGGACTGGGCCTGTGCAGGACTCACAAAGCCACTTTCTGCCACGTAGGTTGGAAGGCCGCTGACCAGGGCCCAGTGATCGGCTGGAGGCGTCCTGGGGAGAGAGAAGCGAGGGGGTGTGTGAGTGTAGATTTGCACGCGTGCGCGCGCGCACACACACACACACACACACACACACACACACACACACACACTGAATATATGTGTATATATGTATATATGTATATATGTATATATGTGTGTATGTATATATAAAAAATATATACATAGAAAAATGTATATATATATAAATGTATATATAAAAATGTGTGTATAAATATATATATAAATAAAAATAGAAAAATATAAATGCATACATATATTTGGAAGCAGGAGTGGCATCCACTTCCTAAATAACATGCCTCCAAAAACCCTATGAACTTTGATAAGTGTCGATGGTTATAGAGGGGCTTCAGATCTTTTGTTCATAGGGTCGCTATGAGTCATGCTCAACTAGAAGGCCGTATGTGTGTGTGTGTGTGTGTGTGTGTGTGTGTGTGTGTGTGTGTATGCATATAGTGTGTCACGCATGTGAATGTGGCCTGCAGTTCCCTTCTCTGAACTCCAGGGGCAGCAGAAGCAGAGATGGAAGTGGAGGGCTTGGAAGTGGGGGGTTTGGTGGTGGTGGTAGCTGTGGTGTGTGGTTTGTAGGAACCTGGTGAGGCTTTGAGGAGGATGAAGAGTCAGAGGAATGGGTTTAGGGGTGTCTCTGCTGCCTTCCTCCTCCTCCCGACCCTTTTCATGCTGGGACAACCTTGCTCCCCTTTGGGGGCCACATGGCTTCAATCCTATCCCCATAGGGCTTAGTGGAGTCCTCTTTCCTGTGGGTTTGGCCCCACCCATTGTCCAGGGTCAGTCCCAGTCCCTTTTTGGGGCTGTGGGAAGGGGTCCTGATGAGAGCATGGGGTCACATGGCTATGCGGCCGTGGGGTTGAGCATGGCTGACCCCTGGTCTCCTTGTTACTATGCTGGCATCCTGCCCCGCCCACACCAGCGGGGTTGCCTGAGATTCCGCATGCCCTCAGCCCCTCTGAAGAGGCTGTGGTGAGTCTGTCCCTCTGGCACCTCCACACACCCAGCATGTGCTGGCTGAGCCAGGCCGGGATCCCGGGGGCCTCAGAGGTCAGTGGCCCTTGCCCCTTGCCTGCCCATGTCACCGCACCTGGAGGGCCACTGGGGCCTCAGCCTTGCTGCCCTCCTCACCCTGAACAGTCAGAGTCCTCTCCACCCCACCCCCCTGAGCCCACAAAGCTGAGCACCCCCGTGACCTGGCCCCCACCCGGCCCTCCAGGTGATCTGAGATGCTGTGCGGGAGTCCTGGCACTTACGGGATGACCTTGATGTCCTCTTTGCCGTGGAGGATGTAGTCAATGACTTTGTAGAAAACGATTTCCTGAGAAACGACAGAGTGTCAGTCATCCACGGCCCCACCCATCTGGGTCCACATCCCCAGGACTTTCCCTTAATGTGTGCAATGTGTGCACGATGCCAGGAGCCCCCACTGGACACACATGTGTGCACACAGGCATATCCGTGTGAGCACACAACTACTCACACGTGGGCACTCTCACGTGTACATGCTAGTGAGCACAGAGCTCCACCCACCACAGTCCACCTCCACTTCTGTCCACACACATGTATTTATACACTCAACAGACATGCCCACCGTGCACAAGAGTCTCTCACACATGCACATACGCATGCACGTGGGCACACGCTATCCACCTCCACCCACACATATATTTATATACACACAGTCACACAGAGATGCCCACCCTACGTGTCTCACAGACATGAGCGTTCTCACCCACCACAGTGCACCCTGTCCACACGTGTGTGTGTATACACACCCCCTGCATGTGTCTCTCACACGCACACAGGCACGTGCGTGCTCACCCACCACAGTGCACCCCTGTCCACACACGTGTGTATACACACACGTACACACATTTCCACATATACACACGCACACTGCTACTGACCCTCCTGGGATACACTCGCACACTGTCTTGGATCCGCCTTGCCTCCTGTCACACTCACGTCCTTCTCCCGTGGGGTCCCATAACCTACACACTTGCCTCCCACAGTCTCCCAGAGGCAGGGCCGGGGCAGGCACATGCGCTCATCCACTCAGCCTGCATCTGTGCGGGGGCCGGCAGACTCTGGTGTGTCTGGGCACACACACACACACACACACGACAGAGACGGCACGGCTGACATGAACACAGCCCTCTCCACGTGCTCTGCACACACCGCCCACGTGATCGTTACAGCATCCATGCTGGGAGAGGGTTGTTAGTACCCCATTTGACAGGTGGGAAGGTCGAGGCATGGCCAGGCTGTGCAGTGGGTCTCAGCGTGGAGACTAGTGAGCAGTGGGATATCTGACAGCAGACCTGACACTGCCTGTCTGGTACACACACACACACACACACACACACACACACACACACACGATCCATCCAATGGAGTTATTACGAAGATCTGAGAAGGGGGCAGCTGGGCATCGGCCTGTCAGAATGGACGCTACTGTTATCCCCCAATAGTGACCCTCTCGGTGGGCCAGGCCATCCCACCCGGAAGAGCACAGCAGAGGCAGAGCTGAGGGTTAACGGGGACAGGCATACAGGGACCTGCCGGCCCATCAAAAACACACAGCTGGCCTGGTCATCACAGCTGGGCCGCCTCCTCATCACCCCCTCCTGCAACCAGAGGACGGGCTGGGCCAGCGAGCTGGAGTCAGAGGACTCGAGGCGCCTGGGCTGGCCCTTCCCTGCCCCCACCCTGACTCACCCTGCCGTCGGGCGTGCGTGGGCCAGAGTACGGCTGGGCTTCCCCCATCAGCACGGGCCAAACGTCGAAGAATTCCTAGGATGAGGGGAGAGAAGGCGTGAGTGGTCAGCGCAACCATGGAGCCGGTGAGGCAGGTGGGGACGGGGCCGCCAGGCCTTACCTTCTCCTTGGTCATATCCAGGAGCCCCACGGAGTAGCGATCGCAGTTGAGGTAGGCCCGCACGGTGTAGAAGGCCTTGTGGAACTGTCGCTCGATGTCCGTCAGCTCCTCGAACACCTTGTTGGCTGACCACAACAGCACCTGGTCGGGGAACGGCACACACGTGGGTCCACCTCTCTGACCACAGCTGCCCCCGGGGACCACGTATCCCACCTTCAGAGCAGGCACAGCTGCCTAACCACGCCTCCAAGAACTCCAGAACCGGGAGTCCACTCCAGCCTGAGGCCGAATCCTACTGGACAGCAAGGCTGCCCTGCCATTCATCGCCTGCTGCTGGCCTGGAGACGAGCTGAGTGGTGACAGAATGAGCAAATGAACATTGAGATCAACTGTCATCAGCTTGAAATGCAAGGACCTGACCACCACACCTCCTGACCACTCTTGGGATCAACCTGTGAGTTGCTGGAGGACAGAACCCATTGTTTTCTGGACCCCCAGCCCTACAGTGGGCGGGGCGAAGGGAATGATGGTGAGAATTCACTGACATGCTCCATGGTACACGGTCAGACCTGCCTGGGACATCACACCAGGGCTGCGTTGCAGGCTGCTGGACAGGGTGGGGACTCATTCCGTGGAGGTCTCCATCCGACCGAGCCTGGTTTTCAGGTCGCTGTCCGAGTACAAGCACCCTCAGCCAGCTCTCATCACCCATCAACCATCACAGCCTCATGCCTCCTCTGGCCAGCACTGAGTTATCCCAGTGACCAGTCCTCCTGCACTGAGTTCTTGCAGGCTGGCTGTCTGTCCCCAACTCCTCTCACAGGAGGGTGGCTCTATGTCCCAGAGTCCTCTCATGGTGAGGGACTCTACGTCCCCGAGTTCTCTCACAGGGGGGAGTTTCTGTGTCCCCTTGTTCCCTCATAGGAGGGCGGCTCCATGTCCCAGAGTCCTCTCATGGTGAGGGACTCTACATCATCGTGTCCTCTCACAGGAGGGAGACTGCCCATGGTCCGTGCTCCTCTGAAGGCCAGCAGAGTCCTCTCATGAACACACCTATGTTCACACTAGAGACCCTCGACCTGCATGCCATGCCTCCCTGCTGGGGGCCTCATGTTGGCCACTCCCACTGCCACCCTCATTAAGGCATGAGGCCTTGGCCTCTAGCTACCTACCTTACCTGTCCCCATCCCAGGAGATCACAATGCCTTGGGCACCCATGTCCTCTATATTCCCATTGCATTTTGCTTCTAAGGTCCTGGACTCACATTC